GTGTGTGTGTGTGTGTGTGTGTGTGTGTGTGTGCTCGCGTGTGCGTGTGTGTGTGGATGCGACATAAATTTGTTGATTTCGAGTCAATGCTGAGCACGGCTTGGAGTATTGGTAGAGTGTTTAAAAAAGCTCCGAGAGGTTATTCAAAAAAAGGAGGAAAGTGATCGTCCACAACACAGCCCGCTCCGCGTCTTTCACAAAAATACGATGCGCAAAGGATGCCACAATTTCTTGGTGTGCTAGTGGCATCCTTTTCGCAAAAGGATGCCTATCACAACCAGTCTAGAAGGGGATATTGCATGATGCAGATCCAGCTGACATGTTTCTTACATGGGTCTGACATGGTGGATATTGCTGGTGCAGCTGAAAAGGGGTCTCGCTCCACTAATCTCGACATGCACACAAGACAAAAATCCCTGGCGGTGTTTCTTTCCATGTTCTAGAGGAAGATTTCACTCTCGTTTTGCACATGTCGAGCGTAGGACTGGAGCGCGGGCGGAGGATGCCATTTCTTTTGCATGCCATTTTTGGGGCATGTCAGGAGTCGATATCGCATGATTCAAATCCAGCCAAAGTGATACCCACTCCTGACATTGAATCATGCCATTTTTGGGGCATGTCAGGAGTGGATAGCTCCTCGAGTGGACCGACGTCTAGCAACAGGTCAGTCTGACAGTCTGACAGCCGTTTCCAAAAGTGAGAAAAGACGAGCGACATTCGTGAGCTCAGGCCGTCTGTCCACTCGAGGAGCTATACGCCCGTCAATATCCACACGCGGATTCATAAGTGCATGAGCGACTCCGGCCGTATTCTGCTATAGTTTAATCTCTTAGGAGAATCACTTAGAGATCTTTCCAGTGCCAATCTCAAGAATCTACGAGAAGATGTTGCGTTGGATTCCCGAGTCCGTTTTTTTTTCTTTTCTTTCTTTTTACCAACAGCCATTATTGGTGGGCACCACACCATCTGAAATGGGTCCCAAAAAAGTGGGTCCCTGTCAAAAAAAAAAGTGGTCCCTGTCAAGAAAGAAAATGGTCCCTGTTTGTGGAGAGGCTTCAATCTATTGGTGGGGACCACACCATCTGAAATGGAGTCGAGCGTCCTCGAACAATAGCCGTGATTTTAAACCACCAGTAGCAGTACCTCCTAAAAGTGCTCCACGTTAACGGGCGTGGCTTTTGGGATGAATGGGCCTGGGCCGGTAGCCCCGCCGATTCAGCCAAGTGGAAATGGCGCGATTTCCACTTTTTCCTGGCCGTTAACGCGGAGCACCTGATTTCCACTTTTGGCTGGCAGTTAAACCACCAGTACTTCCTAAAGTCGTGCCCGTTACGATTTTAGGAAACGTACGGGCCACTACAGGAGCGCCCAAATTCATCCAACTAGAAACGTTTCTACTCTATTTTTTTGTAGCTGGGCCAAGTACTGGTGGTTTAACGCGGAGCACTTTTAGGAGGTACTGGTGGTGGTTTACTACGGACGTCAGGACCACCAGTATTGGTGGTGGTCCACAAGTCTCGCTAAGGAACTCAATCTTCTGCCTTTCTTGCTTTCCCTCCCTACTCCACCCTCCCATCCCTCCACCCTGAGATTCCTTTGCTGTGTCCTACTTGCTCTGTCAGACGGCGGTGACCCACAAAACAGGAAGGCAGTCTTTCCAGCTGCCGAAGGTTGTGAGGGGTTTTGATGTGCCCTCGGCAGCTGTCGATCCGTGCCAAAAATTCTCCTGGCGTTGTTTTTTCCCATGGAAGTTTCGGAGATCACCGGAGTCCTGGGTGCTCCAGGAGGAAGTGCTGGGTGACGTCCCCGGTGGACCAGGAGGATGTGCCCAGATTGTCGATCCGGCTTCCCGCTGCTGGTAGTACCAGATTGTCGATTCCAGCTGCTCGTATTAACTCAGCGAGCAGCTGAGTTAATAGACAGGGCCCTGTGGGGACAATGATCCCCGTCATCGCACCTTTCCCTTCCTTTTTTTTTTGTTTTTTTTGGGAGAACTTCATCTGTGGGAGTACCCACTTAGCGAGGCGATAAGAGCAGCCTCGTTCAGTGGCGGGTTTTCGGCTGCCTGGCCGTCTTTGCCCCAATTGCAGGAGCGGAGGGGAGAGTGCGATCTCGGGCGCGTGGCGGGTTTTGTCAGCTGAAGCTGTGTCATCTTTTCCCGCCGGAACGGACAAGGAGACGGAGATGGCGGGAAGCACCAAAATCACTGCTTCACAGGTCACCATCAGATCTGAGGCCGGACTATCCCTACACAACTGTGATAGGTCGTTTTGCTGATCTACTGAATGAAGCATTGACCTGCTGCATCTCTGGTGCGCCCCTCCTGCGCGCCTTCCACGCTCCTTTCCCGGCCCCGTTGAACGCTCGCTTGAAGTGGCGGATTACGGTGGGTTAGCGGAAAGTGGGAGTGGCGTGCACTGGCAGAGAGTGACGGAAATACAGACAAAAGCAGCGGAGCGACGTACACATGGAAAGCAAAGCAGAGCAGTGCATAGTGCATATGTGCAAAGCGGAGGAGAGTGTAAGTGCAGTATCAATGGCGATATAATCTGGCGGTGTTGGTATTGTTAATAATCGTGTTGACTGATTGGTTCCGTCTCGATGTGATGAGTTCCCGAGGTCGGCGGTTCAAGTAGCTCTCTACCCATACTGCATGAGAAACGGACAGCAGGAAGAAACGAAGGGCGTGGGGGGCATTTCACTTGTATACCTGTGTCATCACCGGGTTGGGGACAGGCAAGAGGGAAGGACATCTTCGTCGTCTCAGGAATCAAATACATACGTTTGGCGTCGACGACTATCAAGCAGCTATGGCCGTTCCATCGACCTCGGAGAGAAACGATGGGCGAGGAGATACAGCAGCCATAGCTGTGAACTCATTGGAATTCAGTTACCCCAGCGAGCCGCCGCTGCTGTCAGATTTCACTCTGCGATTGGAGCCGGGTAGTCGATGTCTCCTTATCGGAGCGAACGGCGCAGGAAAGACGACAATCTTGCGGATTTTGGCGGGAAAGCACATGGTTGGTGGGACGGATGTTGTCCAAATTCTGTCGAGGCCTGCTTTTCACGACACATCACTGGTTTGTGATGGGACTCTTTCCTACCTCGGTGGATCATGGTCGAAAACCATTGGAGGCGCGGGTGATATTCCGTTGCAAGGTGATTTTTCGGCAGAGCACATGATATTTGGAGTCAATGGTATCGACCCAGAAAGAAGAGATCGTTTGATCGACTTGCTCGATATCGACTTGGAGTGGCGAATGCACAAAGTCTCTGATGGCCAGCGACGACGCGTTCAAATTTGTATGGGACTGCTGCGGCCTTATAAGGTGCTTCTCCTCGATGAAATCACAGTCGATCTGGACGTTGTTGCACGGATGGATCTGCTTCAATTTTTCGTCGAGGAGTGTGAACAGAGAGGCTGTGCGATTCTGTATGCTACCCACATATTTGATGGACTTGACACATGGGCTACACATGTGGCGTATGTCGCATTCGGGCGTCTCGAGAAAGGCTTAAAGGTGACCGAGCTCGAGGGGCTGCACCAGCCCGGGGGAGCAGACAACCTGCTTGAAATGGTTGAACCATGGCTGCGGAAAGAGCGTGARCTGCGACCAAAGAAAGCAGAAGAGTACAAGAAGAAGCAAGAGGAGAAGAAGCGTCTTGAGAAATCRTCTCCAAGCAAAGCAGCTCAGGATCGGTTCCCATCTACCCCGGCGTCCCGTCAAGGAGAGTCGTTATGGGGTGCAGGAAGACACATGGCCTTCTATCGATGACAATGGAAGAACACTAAGCCATCTCCTCTTCTAATCCAGTTATTCCTGAGAAGATTGGGGAGCACACTGACATCCACTATTTCATAGCAGCCGTGCAATGCGCGGTAAGGTGCGCAGGCAGCCTAACGATGAAACGCAGGGAACAGCATTCTTTGCCTGTGGATGTCTGTGGGGATCATTGTGACCTTGTGGGATGCATGTCCACTCCTTGCTGGATACAGCCCCATGTTTTGTTGTGATTCTCTCCTCTTAGGGTTTGCTAAACCACCGGCAGTACTTGGCCCAGCTATTGGCCATTCGCAGCCATACCTGGCTGCGTTTAGGGGGGTTGCGACTTTCTGCACATTTCCGCAAAAAAACGTCCAGATTCGGGCGCCGAGGAAACTTTCCTTTTCGAGACATATGTTTGTGAACCGAATTGTGGTCATGTTTGTGGAGATGTGACATAAGTTTGTGAACCGAATTGTGGCCATGTTTGTGGAGATGTGCATGGAAAAAAAAAAACGAACAGCCGTGGGGTGTTCTTGTTTTTTTTTTTTTTCGTTTTGAACGGAATTGTGGCCATGTTTGTGGAGATGTGCATGAAAAGAAAAACCGAACAGCCGTGGGGTACTGTTTTTTTTTTTTTTTTTTGTAGCGTTGCCTGTATGCGGTCACGTTTACGGAGATGAAACACGTCTACATCCGGGCCCGGGTCCCACTGCACCACCGCACATCGTGTTCGCAGCCAGGTATTTCCACAATTGCCAACAAATGTATCTTATCAATAAAATTGAACAGGTACGCTGGCCATGTTTTGCTTATTCGACGCCGGACTTGGGCCGGATGCATGTGTAGGCGTCGTCTTACTTGCAGGGGTGGGCGGAATTGAGGCTCGACCTGCGGTTACGTGATTTGGCGGGGGAATCACTGGGTGTGGAGCTTGTGTGGGGCCCTCATTTCGCCGCCCGCTTTCCAAATCGTAGGCGCTATTGCTGTCGCCGCCCTGGACGTCGCTACTCTGGACGTGGCCCCTCTAGCCCTGGTTTTCGGAGAGTGTGTCACGCTGCGCAGACGAGGGGACGATGGAGACAGCAAGGGCGGCTTACATGTTTCCCATATCCTTGCGCACATGTTTGTGCACGTACGCAGCACACACACATACGCGACGAATCAATCTGGCACAATCATGTATAGCGAACATGACGACGCACACGCATATCCTCCTGATATGTCTAAGGAAGTTTGACGAAACAGTTGGGAACAGTCATGCTTTTTTCTGTGGAGTCTGTGGAGTTGTGTATCACGAACAGGACAACACAAAAAAAAAAACAAAAAAAAAACGAACACGGTTGTGCACGTTCAGAGTATGCAGCGGACAGAATCAACATCCAAGGCGTACGCAGCAGACGGACAGAAACTTCGAAACCGCAGCCCGACTCTCTCTCTCTCTCTCTCTCTCTCTCTCTCTCACACACACACACACACACACACACACTAAGTGTACCCTTCTTTCTCATCTTCGCCATCTCTCCTTCTTCCTCCGGTCCCTCACTTGAACCTGGCTTTCGAACGTCCCATCCTCATCCGAACTTCTCGTCCCTTAGCCGAACCTCTCGTTTCGCACCCAAACCCCCATCTACGCGTCTCTTCTCTGACCTGAACGTCTTGCCTTTCGTTTCTACTCTCATCCCGATTCCGTTTCCCCGGCTCGCACTTTTTTGGTTGCCTTACCCTGTGTTTTTTGGCTTGGTCTAGTGCTCTTTCTGACCATGTTTTTCTTGTTTTTTCACCTCTCTCCTGTCTCCCTCACTCTCGTTCTTCCCTTTCTTATTCTCTCCCATTCCATGTCTTTTCCTTTGTAACTCATTTTCTCTTCTTGTATCCTCTCCTGTGTTCCCGTTCCTCTCCTCTCTCTTCCTTTGCTTTCTTTTCTTCTCGTATTTCGTAATCCCGTCTTCCATATTCCTCTCCCGGTATTCCCTTTTCCTATTCTTCCCTCTTGTTATTTTCCATCGCTGCGGCTCGCCTCTTTCCTCGTTCCCCTCCCTCTTCTCATTTCCTTCTTCCCTTCTCCATCCTTTCATTCCTTTATAATCATTCCTCGTCGTCTTCCATCCTCCCCCCCCCCCCCCCCCCCCTCCCTTTCTCTCTTTTGCTCCCTCGTTTCGCCTTCACTTAGCTCTCTGTTCATCCTATCTTCAATCTTTCTCAATCCTCTTTTCTCTCTCTAGTTCCCCCTCCCCTTCTTTTTTTGCCGTCTCTCTCACATCGGTCCTATTCTTTGTTAATCCAAACCAGGACCGCCTTCCTTTCCCCGCCACTCCGGATGATCGCGCAGCAAATGTTCCATAGCCAACAACTTCAACCCTACGCCCTTGAACGTGTCCATATCATCAATGCCGAGCAACACAATCTTCCCCTCAAACTCGCTCTTCAGCTCTCCTATCCTCCATATCGTGTCTGGATGGGCTAGGGTCCCCTTCAAAAGAGGGATGTCCACCCCGACGGGCATGATCTTTACCATAATGTATCATTTGTTTGTTTCTCTACTTATTTCTCTATTTTTTCTGTTTTTTTTTTAAGTGTTGTTGATTCTTTTATTTCTGCGTTTTTTTCCTTCTTCGTTTCGCTTCCTAATTATGCTTCTGTTTTGTTTCGTTTGCTTTCATTTCATTTCATTTGGTTTCATTTGCCATCGTTTGCTTTCTTTTGCGGCCGTTTGGTTATGTTTCGATTCGTTTGCTTTCATTTGCTTCAGTTTTGATCCGTTTGCTTGTGTTGTTCGTTTGCTTGTTCCTATTTGCTTTGGGTTGCTTCCGTTGGCTTCCGTTTGGTTCCGTTTGCTTCTGTTTGTTTCGTTCGCTTCCGCTTGTTTGTATGCTAACGACGGTTTCCTGCGTCTTGGCTCTTCTGTCGTCTTCTCTTTTCTTCACTGTTCCAGCCTTCCTCCTTTTAATGCACCTTTTTCTAACCTGGTATGACTCTCTCTCTCTCTCTCTCTCTCTCTCTCTCTCTCTCTCTCTCTCTCTCTCTCTCTCTCTCGCTCGCTCGCTCGCTCGCTCTCATTTCTTGTTTCGATTGTGTCTCACGTATGAGAAGAACTGCTGCGATGCATCTCTGCACAAAACACATCCGGAAGATTCATTCCGATTTTGCTCATCCTATCGATGGAAGTAGCCTCTCTTTATCTCCCTGTGTACATGGCTGGAAAACTCTCTCTCTGTCTCTCTCTCTCTCTCTCTCTCTCTCTCTCTCTCACACACACACACACACACACACACACATACACACACACACGCATATACAAGTGTAGTGTATATTTCCATGTTCTAGCGGAAGATTCATTCAAGTTTGTTCATCCTATCGATGGAAGTAGAGTGAGGCCAGCCGCGAGGTTGGAGACTTATCTGTTGGCCGGTGCGTTGCTCATCCTATCGATGGAAAACTGTGTCTCTCTTTCTTTCTCTCTCTCTCTCTCTCTCTCTCTCTCTCTCACACACACACACGCACACACTAAAAACAAGTGTGGAAGTGTATACTTCCATGTTCTAGCGATAGATTCATTCGATTTTACTCATTCTATCGATGGACGTAGCATGAGGCCAGCCTTGAGGTTGGAGACTTCCATGATGATATTTGAGGTGCGTATGCAAGGTTCTGGGTTATCTCTAGCTGGTAGAGCACCGCTCAAACTCAACTAGCTCCAACCGGACTCGAACTCAGATCTCTATTTCAGCAGTTCATTTCATGTGTTCACCAACTGAGGGTATACTAACACTGGGACTTTCCCCGACGTATATGACCGCTTTTCAGACCCGGACAGAATGCACCCAACCTGTATTACGTCCACAGAGAAGTGCAAGAAGTCCTAGTATGAGTACGGTGGTATGCAAATAGAAAAAAGGAAGCCCTAGCGAAAATGCTAAATTGCCAATCTGAAGCAAGAATTGTCTGCAAGTGATCTTTCAGGGTGGTATCCAGTCTGCAAAGTGATGTATCATGGAAGTATACGAACTATGCAAGCAGATGGATGGACTTATTAGGACCGCCTCATCGCGAAAGACATCTTTCGAACAGGACATACCTGCTTCTCGCTAAAAAATGCGACACGTGTCCTTCTTTCTGATGGGTTGATCAGATCTGGCACGGTCTTGCTACACGTGTCTCTTCACATCTGGACTTTCTCAACTGGTAAGTTTTTTTTTTTTTTTTTTTTGGGTGCAGGATCTCAACCTCAATGACAATGGATATATTGCTTGAGTTGAAAAAGAAAGAAAAAATAAAGAAAATTGATCGGGCAGAGTTGAGTGTATAGATCCGGTGATGACGGCCCTCGCTCCACTGCACAATCATCCAAATGATGCAGCTGAACGTCGTTGTGGTCCAGATACATGCAAAATGTTGGATGGACAAAGAAAATTGATGCCACAGAGTTGAGCATATAGATCGGGTGATGATGGGCCTTGCTCCTGTGAACAATATCGTAAATGTATCTGGAGCTCGTAATGGTCACAGTCCGTCCAAAATGTTGTATCCGTCGAAATGTATCTCGTCATAATTTCGTCCCAATTCATGACGAATATTGAGCAGTGGAGCAAAACCCCATGGTGCAGATTCCACTTGTGGAATCTAAGTGAATATACGGCTATCATCATTCGTCAGATTCAACCCGGGCCAAGGTCTCACTAGCAAAGAGGATTGGATGAAGATTACGAATCTGGATGGTTTTTTTTTGCTCTGTGATTTTTTTTTTTTTTTTCCCGATCCGATCTTGGCTACCAGCTGGGCCGCCCGGTCCCGGGTGGAGTCCAAAAAACAACTATGTTATGCGGAAAAATAAACTGAACAACTTTTGCCTCAGGGTCACATCGAAATTCTTCACCCAATTTAAAATAAAAAATAAACTTTAAAATATTGTGACGATGTATATATTTTTTATTTTTAAAATTTTAATTTCTTTTGGCCCGGTCGGGCAAGTGACCCCGGGCTACTGTGGTAGCCTAGGATCCGATCCGATCTCTTTGTTTGTTTTTGGTGTTTTTCGTTTTTGTTTTCTATTGGATGCCATCCGATCTGACTCGGAGAGTGCTGAAAACGACAAGATGTGTAAAAAAAAAAGAAAAGAAAAGGACAGGATGACTGATGCCGGACCAGATATTGGCCTGGCCTTTGACACGTGTGTCGCCTTTTAGATCTTGCGATCTCTAGGAACGGCTCTGATCCTCTCCGATCCAACAGTATGACGAAGATGAGTGCATGTGAAAGAAGCCAGCCAGACTGACTCGTGTCTCTATCTTTAGATCTTGCGACTTTGGACGGCTCTAATGCCAGATACAGCAATAACCTCCCCCCACAATATACTTCGGTCTAAATTAGGCAGAGAAGAGCGGAGCGGGTGACCAAATGAAGTTTGTATGGCACTATGTGAGACATTAGAGCATAGTGGATGCATTTGACTGTATTTTCGTTCGTCCGTACAATACAATGAATATAGAGCTTTCCCCGTGATTAAGGTCAGTCCATCGTGACGGTCCTGCCACCTATGATTAAGGTAGGTTCATCGGCCTGTCGTTTCCCCTAGTCGGCTATTAGCTGTATATGTCTTAAG